ACTTTACTGTTTGTATATATCATAAACCGAATTTTGATAAACTGATCCTATTCTTGTGATTCCCAAAAGTTCGGGCTTATCGAGTATATACCATTTTACTTACGCGTGATGTAGATCATCACCAAAAGTAACTAATAATAATAATAATTAATAATAATTAATAATAATAATACGAGGCCATAAAAAGTATATAGATTATTAACAATCTCTCTTAACTTTATTATTCATGTCACATAATATTTAAATAATCGCTCCTTAGAAACCTGCTGATACTTTCATATGTTCCTAAATTTATTTAAACTTTGTCATTTCTTTTTTTTTTTCATTAAATGAAAAGAAAATTTTCTTTGTTTTAAATGAAAATTATCAAAACATATGAGACAGTTACTTGTACAATGGTAAATGAAATAAACATATTATTGCTCGGTGAGACTGGTGTAGGAAAATCTACGTTTATAAATGCTTTTGCAAATTATCTTAATTATGACAATTTAACTGACGCGCAATCAGGAGAAATGGAGGCATTGATCACATCAAAATTTACAATGATGGATGAGAACTACGAGATGAAAACAATAAAAATTGGCGATGATGATCCAAACGAAAATGCAGATAACAAAGGAGCATCAGCTACTCAAGGATGTAAAAGTTATCCGTTCCCTGTGGACGATAATAAAATCATAAGATTGATTGATACTCCCGGTATCGGAGATACCAGGGGAATTGACAAAGATAAGGAAAATTTTGATAACATTCTAAAGTATATTAGTTTCCACAAGTACCTGAATGGGATTTGTATTCTTCTCAAACCTAATAGTTCACGATTGAATGTAGTATTCAGATTTTGCATACAGGAATTGTTGTCACATCTTCACAAAAATGCCAAGGACAACATTGCTTTCTGCTTCACAAATGCTAGATCAACATTCTATCGTCCAGGAGAGACTTTGCCAGCACTCAAAAAACAACTTAAGGATCTCGAAGACAGATCTGGTGTTGAAATAAAAACCAACAGAGAAACAATGTACTGTTTTGATAACGAAGCTTTTAGATTTCTAGCAGCACTCAAAAATGAGATAAAGTTTTCAGAACCTGATAGACAAAGTTTTGCAGAAAGCTGGAAAAAGTCTGCGCACGAGTCACAATTGCTCTTTAAACACCTTGCAACACGTAAGCCTCACAAAATAGAAGATACCTTATCACTCAACAATGCCAGAAAGATAGTGTTGCTTCTTTGCAAACCTCTTGGAGATATAGGAAAACTAATCCAGGACAACATCAGCATAATCAGAGACGAACAAAATATGGTTGAAAATTCTAGTAGATCCATAAATGACCTTGAGAGAAATAAGTACACCAAACAGATAAAGCTTATTCCAGAAGAGTTGGGGCACCCTAGAACGGTATGCACCGATGCCAATTGCATCAAGATATACAGTGTTGGTAACGTAAACATGACAGACCACATATCACATTGTCATAAACATTGTTATTTAAGTGGTGTTCAAACTGAAGTGATAAACAATCCATCCTTGACACAATGCAGTGCTATGAAAACTGATGGAAATTGTAAAAAATGCTCCTGCCACTGGAGTAAACATATGCATATTACTTATGAAAATCGAACAGAATTCATAAGTGTCATTGACACGAATATAGAACAACAGATTAAGGATAAGAAATCATATCAAGAGATAAAGCAAGCAGTTATAGACAGTAAAAGAAAGCAGATCAATAGCCTAGAAGAGGAACAGAAGAAAATAACCACCATTAGTGCCCAATTTGCACATTTTCTAAAACAGAGCGCAATAGCTGCTTTCAATGATGCATATGCTGACTATCTAGATTATCTCATACACGTACAAAAAGTTATAAGGGATTCTGACAATGACAATTACAACAAAGAAATTCTTGAAGGGCTCGAAAAATCAAAAAGCGAATATTTAACAAAGGTGAAGATTTTAAAAGAAGCGATGGAAAACGATGATTCTTCCATGTCTACAATCTCACCAGAAGAAATATCCGATTACGAACAAGAATTGTATAATCTACCATTGAATGGTTCATCGTTGAAGGAATTAAAAGAAGCAGCAGAACGTGGTCAAAATGCCTCGTTCAGATACAATGAAAAACCATATGTGCCCCGAAGAAAAAATAGACTCTCAAGACTTTTGACTTTTTTCTCCTCCAGTCAATGATAAATTTGCGTATGTTACGCAAGAATACTATCCAACCATCATGTTTGTTGTTAAGTTGTAATATAAAAAATTTTGTCAATATTTAAATATTAATTTTAAAAACCTTTTCTTTCATGTATTAAGTTTATACAAGTGTAATGTGATTTTTTATAATAAAACTAGCGTAATTAAATAACTTTGTATGATTTTTGATAATTAATGGATTATTTATCATCATGATATTATAATTAGTTGGTGTATCGCGCGCAATTAAAGATAATGATGCAACATCAACAGGTTGAATAAAACGAAAATTCTATTCGTAACTGGTCTAAAATATGTAATTATTAATATTTTTAACACATATATAACAAATATGTGAATAACGAAAAATATGATTTAGATGAGTATTATAATAAAACTAACTAACTTCAATAAATAATAAATCACGAAAACATTGAAAAGTTTTTAAAAGCTGCAACAAAAGTTTATCTTAATTAAGAAGATTTTCGAAAGTCGTTTCTTCCTCGTATTACCCTTTATATTCAGTGTTTATTTGAAGACTGTCCAATTCATTCAATTGAAGCCTCTAGAGTTAGGGAGTTGTTTCAGTAGAAACACTTTACTGAAAATTAAAAAATTGTATAATGACGAAAATAAGTGACTAATTCGCAATTCGTGACAAAATAATCCCTGGGCGATCTTCTTTAGTATAAATCTTTTTATATTAAAATATTTCAAAAAACTTGTAAATTCAAAAGTAGCTTCTCTATCACTATTTAATATTATAATAATTATTTATTATTTAATTCATAAAGTAAGTGATATTAGACTCGTTAGATTCCATAAAAATAGCTTATTGAAAAGGACCATAATATGAATTGAATTAATGCCACCACTATATACAATATACATGTCGTCATAATTAAAAATCGTGTGCATGACGCAATCCACGATACTAATACAGACACAAATTGTGACGCAAGATGCAATTCACGATGCAAACACAATTCGTAACGCAATTTCTTTAACTAATCAAAAAATTTTCTGGGTAATGTTTTTTAATATAAATAAGCTCATACATGGCAAAATAATACAAAGTATTTCGAAAAAGCCTCTAAAATCAAAAGTAGTTATTTAATATTATGATTTAATAATAAATTAAATCAGCTCGTAAAGTAAATGATATTAAACTTATTAGATTCCATATATCCATCTAATCTACATAGAAATCATATTTAATAAGAAAAAAATAAAGATAATATTCTTTTTATAGATAATGTTACATTATTTCATCCATTGTATTCTTCCTTGTAAATGTTTTTGATTGGCTGAAAAATTTTCGTCACGAATTACGCATTCGCGTCTTTGCATTAATTTATGGTAAGTGACGTAATGTCAATTTTCTTAATTTGTGATTGCGTCATGACTCAAATTTATATATTAAGATGTAAACTCGATAGGTCGGTCACGTCGGGGCGGACCCCTGTGGCCGACTTATAGAATTTCACGTGATTTTTTAAAATTAAAAATTTGTATTTATTTTTTATCCCAAACATTAGAAGGTTGCGAAATCAATCTTTTTATACATATTTCTGAACATAATAAAATTTAATAGGAATACAAATGTATTATTTCTCTGAATTCTTGACGATATAATTGATGAGATAATAATATATTAATGCATTATTCATGATAAATGAATGATACAATCGATGATACAACTGCAGAGATAATAAAATATTAATGCATTATCCATGATAAATCATCAAATGATTAACGCGAAAAAAGTTCTCTTTTTTAAAATCACTTGACAAGAAAAAATGGATGTGTGATTATGCGTCATAACTGATGAAGGTAATAAAATATGAATATAGTTCGCAAATGAGAATGCTCTCTTCCTTCTAAATTATAAAAATGAACAATAAAAATAGTTTTTTTAACATCAATACAAATAATTATTTTTATTAAATCACACATTACTAAAATAGTGATGATGACCCTTCACATAATGAAATATCACGCGAGACCGACTTATCGTGATTCATTTAATTATACTTGGGCTAAGTGATTGACCGACTTGGCGCTTATCGCGACTCTATATAGATCGACCAACTTATCGACTTTACATATGTAGTGTTTTTTTCATTACTGATTGGGGGTCCGTCCGTTATTATAGATTATGTGGAGACCAATCTATTAATAATTATGTGTTCTATACTTTTTTTAAAAAGTTGTACAAATAGGAGGTGTCTTAATATGCATCTACAATATTTGGGGGTGAGATTGAAATCTAAATACGAAAGGTGCGTGGCGCGAAACTTTAATTTCACATGTAAGTTGCAAATCTACAACTTATAATTTTCATATAACCTATAATAGCATAGTTATTACACGAAATGTTATGCTCCTTAAATTGGAGATCCCATTCAAATCCATTTTATCACCACTCACTTTACTTTTTATTGCCAGAATGTTTTCCGTATATTGTAAAGTTACGTTGCACAATATAAAAATAAATTAATGTAACATTTCAAATTTCCACTAATAATTGATTTTATTATACCCATTAGAATATTCCGAGCCTATATAAAAAACGGAAACTTCATTTAACTATTATTATTAATATTGAAATATTTAATTGTTTTTGTCACTATCATCAAATTTATTGTTATTATAATACACGAAAGTAAACTTGTTATACGCCTTAAAAACTTGCATATGCATAAAACTAATACTAAATTTATTTAAAGTTCTGATATTTCTTTTTTTTTAAATTATTTAGTTTCATAACTTTTTTAATTGAATTACGAAATTAAAACAATGGGAAATGAAATAAACATATTGTTGCTCGGTGAAACTGGTGTAGGAAAATCTACGTTTATAAATGCATTTGCAAATTATCTTAACTATGATAATTTAACTGACGCGCAATCAGGGGGTATGGAGGTATTGATCACATCAAAATTCACAATGATGGATGATGAGAACTATGAGACGAGAACAATAAAAATTGGTGATGATGATCCAAACGAACAAGCGAATAATGAAGGAGCATCAGCTACTCAAGGATGTAAAAGTTATTTATTCCCTGTAGGCACTGATAAATTCGTGAGATTGATTGACACACCTGGAATCGGAGATACCAGAGGAATTGACAAAGATAGGGAAAATTTTGATAACATTCTAAAGTATATTAGTCACTACAAGTACCTGAATGGGATTTGTATTTTCCTCAAGCCCAATAGTGCGCGACTGAACGTATTTTTCATACAGGAATTGTTGTCATATCTTCACAAAAATGCCAAGGACAATATTGCTTTCTGCTTCACAAATGCTAGATCGACATTCTATCGTCCGGGAGACACTTTGCCAGCGCTCAGAAAACAACTTCAGGATCTTGAGGAAAAGTCTGGAGTTGGAATAAAGACCAACAAAGATACAATGTACTGTTTTGATAACGAATCTTTTAGATTTCTAGCAGCACTCCGAAATGGGATGAAGTTTTCAGAAACTGATAAACAAAGTTTTGCAGAAAGCTGGAAAAGGTCTGTGGACGAATTACAGAGACTCTTTGAGTATTTTAGGTCACGTGAACCTCACAAAGTAGAAGATACTTTATCACTCAACGATGCCAGGAATATAATGCTGCTTCTTTGCAAACCTCTTAGGTTTATAAGAATTCAAATTCAAAACTGCGTTAGCATTATCAGAGACGAACAAAGTAAAATTGAAAATTCTTATAGATCCATAAATGATCTTGAAAAAAATAAGTACATCAAGCAGATAAAGCTTATTCCAGAACAGTTGGAGTTCCCCAGAGTTGTATGTACCAACGCAAGTTGCGTAAAGGTCTACAATGTTGGTAGCGTAAACATGACAGATTACACATCACATTGTCTTGATCGTTTTTATTTGCATGGTATTCAAACCGAAGTGACAAACAATCCATATTTGGCACGCTGCAGTGCTATGAATCAGAATGGAAATTGTAAACGATGCTTTTGCCACTGGAATAAACATATGGCTATTACTTATGAAAATCGAATGGAAATCACCAAAGTCGTTGACAAGAATATAGAAAGGCAGATTAAGGAAAAAAAGTCATATCAAAAGGTAAAGCAAGCAATTATCAATACCAAGAAAAATCTTATCAATAGCCTAGAAGAGGAACAAAAGAAGATAACCACCATTAGTGCCAAATTTGCACATTTCCTAAAACATAGTGCAATAGCTGCTTTCAATGATACATACGCTGACTATTTGGACCATCTCATACAGGAACAAAAAATTATAAAGGATGCTGACAATGGTGATTACAACAAACAAACTCTTGAGGAACTTGAAAAGTCAAAAAAGGAATATTTAGAAAATATGAAAGTTTTAAAAGAAGCAATGAAAAAAAACAATGATCCTTTGATGTCTATAATCTCACCAGAAGAAATATATCAGTACGAACAAGAATTGTATAATCTACCAATTAATGGTCCAATGCTGCTGAAAGAAATAAAAAAAGTAGTAGATCGTGGTCAAGATACCTCATTCAGACACGAAGAAAGGCGATTTATACCCCTACCAACCATCGATTCAACGCCGAAAGAAATAAACGAAGCAGCAGAGCTTAATAAAAATACCTCATCCAGATACGAAGAAAAACGACATATGCCCAACCTAAGAACAAAATTCTCGGAAAATTTCTATACTATTCTATTTTTCATATCAATGGTGTTTATATATAAATTTGTGCAAGTTGCGCAAAAATGCTATAATCTTTAAAATTCGTTGTATTATAATCTATTTATTTACATATTTTGAACCCTTTTATTTCATACACATATCTAAATTTGCATTAATATAAGTGTTGGTTCGTTTAATGGGATTTTTTGTAATAAAATCGACGTGATTTAAGGTTTTTTTTAATATAATAGCCTCGTTAACCAGGCAAGGATTATTGATGATAAATCATTTTACTTGCAAAATAATAACGACTTGTATTAATCAATTTAACTTCAAAAGCTTATTTACCTATAAATGCACATGACATATCCTTTATTGTTTTATAGCATTCTTTAGAAGTTTTTGACTGAGCAACCATAGATTTCAAAAAAATGCGGCGTGGTGTTCACACCACGAATTATGTATAATTAAAGTTAAATATCTAAACTTTTTGTAAGGCCACTCGGCCTCCCTATAGAAACGCGTAAATATGATTGATATTAATACAAAATTACAAAAATAATACGGAAAACCTAATACTGTTTTTCTTTTTTTTCTTTTTTTTTATAATCCCGTATTAGTATTATTATCAATATCAGTATGCTTTCCGTGTCATTTACGCGTGTTTTCTATATTTCATTTTTTATAGGGTTGGCTATCTGAATAATTCGAGTATTTCTCAGTGAGTGAAGAAAACAAGTCGGGTAAAGTACTACTAGTAAATAAATGATATTGGTCAAAGAAAAGAGAAAACCAACGAATTTATGTAAACCATATTTTGAAGAAATTTTATGGATCATGGGAAAGCAAGATTGATATCATTTATTTCAATTATTATAACATGAAGAAAACTGAAAGTAAGTATCATGTAAACTCATATGAGTATATACGAATTGATAAAATTAAATTGATACTTTATAAATTATTTCCTCGTGCAAAACTATTGTCAGTTTTTTTAGAACCAACATTATATTAATTTTGAGTGTCGTGCCATAATAAGAATAATGGATCAAATTAAAGATTTTTATTTGATACTAATACGGGATTATAAAAAAAAAGAAAAAAAAGAAAAACAGTATTAGGTTTTCCGTATTATTTTTGTAATTTTGTATTAATATCAATCATATTTACGCGTTTCTATAGGGAGGCCGAGTGGCCTTACAAAAAGTTTAGATATTTAACTTTAATTATACATAATTCGTGGTGTGAACACCACGCCGCATTTTTTTGAAATCTATGGTTGCTCAGTCAAAAACTTCTAAAGAATGCTATAAAACAATAAAGGATATGTCATGTGCATTTATAGGTAAATAAGCTTTTGAAGTTAAATTGATTAATACAAGTCGTTATTATTTTGCAAGTAAAATGATTTATCATCAATAATCCTTGCCTGGTTAACGAGGCTATTATATTAAAAAAAACCTTAAATCACGTCGATTTTATTACAAAAAATCCCATTAAACGAACCAACACTTATATTAATGCAAATTTAGATATGTGTATGAAATAATAAGAATAATGGATCAAATTAAAGATTTTTATTTGATCCATTTTGATCAACTATTTCAAGCCTACTATATTCATTAGCATTTAACGGGAGAAAATCAATGCAACTTACGCTTGACTGCCTGCAAAAACATTTTCATCTATAGAAAGAAGTTATGACATGCAAGACATTCTGAAGCGAGAATTGTTTTCTAGAAGATATCTTTCGATGGATTTCAATAAATTGTTTCATTGCCACCACTCCTACTAACCCATTACAAATATCTCTTCGAATGATTGATTGTTTAAAGACGTTTTGACTAAGCACCTTCTTGAAGTTAAGAACTTTTTGGGGCAAATTCGCGAATTATAATTATTGTTACCATTAAAATTATTTTGGCTACTATATATTAATATGATTAATAATATAATAGTAATTTTAAAAATAATGAACACTAATTATCAATAAGATTAAAATTTGCAAGTGAACATCATCATGGCTCACTGGAATTAACTACTGGTATCTTTATAATTAATTTTGGACTGTCTCCAGCAAAAGCCACCTCCGAGGTCTTTTGATCAAATTTGTGATTTTTACATAGTATTATCCTATGACATCTAGATTATATAACTGATGAAGATATTAGATCCTGTTTGCTTAAAATTATAAAAAAAGTGGAGATCGTGCCCCGTATACTTTTAAATGGGTCTCTTACATGTCGACGAATTTTTTGTGTGCAAATATCATCCGTTAATGGAGTTTAAAAAAATTTTCGATATCGATTTCCCTTTGTGTGTATTATTTACCTCGGAGGTGGTTTTTACTGGAGACAGTCTCTCATATTAAAGAGTCAAATTTCAACAATATTTAATGCTTAGAGCATAGATTTTTTTGAACTCATTTAAAAATTAGCATGCGAAAGAAGGTCTCAAACAGTTCAAGGTGAACATATAGATTTAATATTTATATATATAGAATGATGGACTGTAAGTTCAGTAAAATTAACTTTTGGTGCGGTATCCAATTAGAAGTGATGATGTAGAAGAGCCTCAGTTTGGGTTGGAGAATAAAAATGATTAGATTAAAACTAAAGAAGTTGAAGTGCTTGTTATTGATAATAACCTACCGGGAGATTGATTCGCTTTTTCTTATCATTATATACTGTATATATAGTCCAATCAGGAGCAATAATTTAATAAGATCTGCAATTAAAAACATTTCATGTAAAAAGGCTCATGTTGAAAATGGTTGAAGAAAAAATTTTACATATTTATCAAAAAACCCACCGCAACCACTTCCAACCAACCAACTATATAAATACACTTCACATAAAACAATATTCAAATAATATTCCAATTCAAATATTGATACTTTATGAAGAAACTAAAGATTCTCTTCAATTGTGATAATAAC